GGATGGATGGATGAATGGATGGATGGATGGATGGATGGATGGGTGGGTGGGTGGTTGGATGGATGGGTGGGTGGATGGTTGGATGGATGGATGGATGGATGGATGGATGGATGGATGGATGGATGGGTGGATGGATGGATGGATGGGTTTGCGTGGATCATAATTTTGGATGGTACAAGCATATGTAGACCTTGTTTTAACTTTGACCTTGATTTGTGATCTTGACCTTGGAGCTGGTATGATGAAAGTGTACACAACACTGTCTGGTGATCATGTCTAAGTGAATGAAGTTTTAAATTATTTTAACAAGATCAGAAATTATGGGCTGGAGAGGAAAAAGTTTTCTGACGTCTGTATGAGACTATACAGTAATATGTTTGCCTTCCAAAAGGGGAATAAAAATTGTTTGTCGGTACAATTATTGTGATTTATCCTATTTTGTTATTGTTTTGGTCATTATTTACAGGTAAATTCAGTTTATTTATAAAGCGCCAAGTCACAACAGAAGTCGTCTCAGGACACTGAACAGAAATATTCATATATAAAAACTTAACACTATTTATCTGAGGAGCAGACTATCATCCTTTTATTATTATTATTATTGTTATTATTATTATTATTATTGTTATTGTTATTGTTATTATTGTTATTATTATTATTTTATGATGTGAGCTGCTGACCTTTTGGTCAGGTCACCCTTGCAGATGAGATCTTGATCTCAATGGGTTTTTATCTGATTAACTATCTGTAATCTATAATAACAAAGTCCATGCTCAATAATCCAGGTACACAATCCAACATTTTTCAGTCAGGTCATCTGGACAGGTCAACTTTGGACCTTGAACATCATGGACTGTCAACAAGGAAGAGGGCCGGTAATGGAGGAGGGGGCGTACCAAAGAGACCATCTTATCACAAGCAGAACTGGTTTGTTCCACTTTGGAGTAAGCTGTTGGGGGAAGAATCAGTTTTCTTGTGTGTTTCCTTGACTGATGAAGTCTTCTGGATCGAAGGTGAAACATTTCAGCACAAAAAAAGAAACTGTCCAGATGACCTGACTGAAAAATGTTGGGATGTAATCTATAATGTTTTATCTGGTTTTCATCTGGCCATTTGAAGCAGATGGTCTCTCGTCCTGATCCTGGTTCTGCTGGAGGTTTCTTCCTGTTAAAGGGAGTTTTTCTTTCCACTGTCTCCACTGTGCTTGCTCAGGATGGGAGACTGCATCGAAGCCAAGATTCAACTTGTCTGCTGGATTCCTTAGATAGAGAACTTTACTAACTGGCTTTTATGTGAATGTTCCTGTTCAGTGCCCTGAGACAAGTCTGTTGTGAACTGGTGCTGTATAAATAAACTGAATTGGATTGAACTGGGTGAGTGGGGTCCTTCATGATGCAGGGGGACCTCTTCCTGCATCTGGAGGTGTAGAGCACAAGATATGAGAAAACATATTCTGTAATGGCATCTCAGCAGTTACTGTAATAATGTGTAGAGTTTAAACCAACATCTCATATTTCATTAGAACGGCCACAACTAAATGTGTGAGCGCTTCAGTACCGAGTCCACCGCACGTCTTACTTTTCTCTCTCCACTAACAGTGTCTTGTGCCCGACGCTGCCACAGAGGCACCTTTAGAGACGAAACTAACAACAGTTAAGAACAGAAATGCTTTTCAAGAAAAGGAAAATCCAGAAAGATCACTAAAATGACTTGAACGATAAGTCGTAAACTGAAACAAATGATTAAAAACAACCAATAAAATGAGTCATTGAGTTTATGTTCTGTAGAAATATGTAATAAAAAACTGACATTAAGTAAACGGATGATACTCTTAACTTTTAGAGACAATCATTGCAGTCAAAGCTCTGCTCTCGGAGAGTTCTGCACCTGTCCACAGATGTTGTGGCGCACTCCTCGTGATCAGACGGCTCCAGCTGCCTCGGGTCTGAAGAGTTTCTTCTCCAGCCTGCATGTTACAGATGTTTCCACATGTTTAAATCCACCAGACCTTACAGCTCTGAATAATGTGTGCAGCTGTAGTCACAAGGACATCAAGATGCCTTTACCTTTAACAGTCTGCAGTAATTCCCTTTCTAAACTCCTGAGACAACTCCGTCCTAAGCTTCCTGTGCTCCATCCTCAGGGTGGTACACACCATGATGCCAAACAGCACAGTGACTACTTTTACCCTTTCATAGGCAGACTGATTACAGGACATAGTGTCCCCATATGGTCAAATTAGGTTCAGTCTTTTCTAGGGTTTCCATCCTGTTTGTCAAGGGTAGTTTCATAAGTTTGTTTTATGATTCTGTTCAACCAAATTTCATAAGCAAACTCTGATCGTTCATTGATTTTTGGTCTTTTTACCAGATTTGTTCATTCAAGTTACTTCAGGGACCTTCGTGGGTTTTTCTTTCTTTAACAATCTAAAACAAATAAATGTGGCTGCGTCTGTTTGAGACTAGACAGAAACGAGGACGCTCCTAACAGTGTGAATGAAGTGCACGCAGTCCTGAACCACTCTGTGATCAGTCTGACAACGATTCACTGCAGCTGAAAAACACCCGATTCTTCATTATCTTTGTTTTCGCAGGTCTTCAGTCAAGTTCCTCCACCCAGTCCCTGTCCACCGTCAACATACTGAAATATTCAGCATCTGGATGAAAAGTATCATCTCCAAAGATTACGTATGTTGGGATAAAATATCACTTGTGTTCTTTTTTTTCTACTTTTGGCTGCTCTCTTCTTCAGGGGTCGCCGACACAAAGACTTGTCAATCATTTTCACGCCGGATGTCCTTCCTGATGCAACCACAGACCACCAAGCTACCACAGCCCTCTGTGTGGAGCAGAGAGCTGCCAGGATGCCCAGGGGAGCGGATGGTGGGTGTTAGGGGCCTTGCTCAAGGACCCAGAGAGGGGAAAGTAAGGGTGGAGGCAGGTGTGGGTCTTTCACCTTTTCCACCCACATTTTAAGATAAGATAGAACTTTATTGATCCTGCAGGAAATTGATGTTGTTGGTCCGGGGAGTTGAACCAGTGACCTTTTGATCATAGACCCGCCCACCCCCCAACAATAAGAACTGTGTTCTCAAAATTGTTTTTTATGTTTCTGCCCAAAATATGCGTAGGAGTGTAACATGAAGAAACCCCCTCTGACCTCCGACCTCTGACCTGGACTCTTCTGTTTGTAAAGGTTTGCTTTCTGACAGTCAGTGGGACCGTAGGGTGATCTGTTCTCTCAGGCTTCAGGTTTTCTGTGGGTTTTTTTTTTAGACTTGTTAAAAATGTGATTCATGCAGATGAAATGTGCTCATTGTGAAATATTTTGAAATGTGGAAAATTAATGTTGACGATTTGATGTGTGCATTTCTCTAAGAAATTAGTTACATGGTTTAATTTTTTTTTTTCAATGTCGTCAAAGGAAGCAGTTTAGTGATATAGTAGTCGCTCGTTTATCACGGGGGTTACTTTCCTAACACCCCCGCAATAAGTGAAAAAACTGCAAAAGAACAAGTCCGCGAAAGTCAAACTGTGAAGCTGTGAGGGACTACTGTAATGAAAACAACAAAGTCCATGCTCAATAATCCAGGTGGACAATCCAACTTTTTTCTGTCAGATTCATCTGGACAGTTTCAAACTGTCCAGATGAATCTGAAACTGTCCGGATGACCTGATGAAAACTGTTGGACTACTGCAATGTTAAAAAACTTCTTTTGAACAGGGAGAACTGAGAGTCTGTGACCTCGGCGTGGATGACGGTGCCAGGTGTCTGATAACTGAGGAGAGACCTCGGCTGCACTCGTTTCCAGTTTGTCTTTGCCCTCATCCCTGTGTGCTGGTCCCTCTTCTTTGGTCTCATTCTGTATTTGTCTACCCCAGTTTAAAGTGTACGTTCTTTATAGATGTGTTTTGAAAACCCAGCCAGTAAAGACTAGAATAACACTCAACCGGCATGGTATCATTTCTGGGGTGTCCAAACCAGCTGCACCCCAGAAGTTTCCTTCAGGGTGATGAGAAAATCAGTTTGATCTGGTTCTGACACTGTCGCCTGTTACAAGTTGATAAACTAAACATTTCACTTTTGAACTAATTCTTATTTAAAGTAATTTGACAATTTGGCAGACGTTAAAACATTTTCCAGAACCTAATTCCAAAGAGAAAATCCTTAGCAAGAAAATAATCCGAACTGTCCAAATTCTTGTGCGTGTGAACCCTAAACTTAGATCCTAATTCCAAACATCCTGTTCAAAAGATTTTTATGTTTTTGATCAAAATAATAATCTAAGTTTATTTCTGGTCATATTCTTGCTTCAGTGTGTTTTTCTTGTTAAATCATTTTAGGTGAATATAACTGTTTAAATCTGGTATATGAATTTGTGTTTGGGGGGGGGGGTTATGTGTTGAATTTGTTATGTTTATTGATTTTATTTTTATTTTTTTTCCCACTTCATATTAAAATCTTAAAAGGCAAATTGGATCATTTTATTGGTAATATGTTGTGATTAAAATTCCCTGTAATAAACAGATTTCATCCTCTGCTGTGGATAAATAGTTTTTATGAAAAAGTCCTGTAAATATTGCTGATCGATAATATTGATTTAACGAGAGCGTTAAACAGCAGAAAAGTGTGTCGCCCTTCTTTCCTCTCCCCAGTAACATCTCACGTGGCTGCAGCGAGTTGGGAAACAGCATTCATGAGGGAGTCTCGTGATGTAACATTCGCAGTGGTTAACAACAAAGTCCATGCTCAATAATCCTGACCTGACTGAAAAATGTTGGATTATATACCTGGATTATTGAGCATGGACTTTGTTGTTTTCAACCAGTTTGACACGACTGTCAACAAGGAAGAGGGCCGGCAATGGAGGAGGGGGCGTACCAAAGACACCATCTTAGCACCAACAAAACTGGTTTGTTCCACTTTGGAGTAAGCTGTTGAGGGAAGAATCAGTTTTGTTGTGTTTCCTTGACTGATGAAGCCTTCTGGATCGAAGGCGAAACGTTTCAGCACAAAAAAAGAAACTGTCCAGATGACCTGACTGAAAAATGTTGGATTCACAGTGGTTCTTCATTTTCTTGAAAGTCACCTGGGTGTGCCGTCCTTGAGTTTTGAACACTTTTCAAAAAAATTGTGCAACAAATTTTCTTTAAAATATTCGTCGTCCATTAGAAATTGTATAAATGGTTCCTAGGTGCAAGTGAATGTTTGTTTCTGTGTCCCTGATGGACTGGAGACCTGTCCAGAGTGTCCCCTGCCTCTACTGGACATGGGCTCCAGTGACCCCTGCAGCCCAGAAAGGAAGAAGCAGGAAAAGATGGATGGATGGATGGATGGATGGATGGATGGATGGATGGATGGATGGATGGACGGATGGATGGATGGATGGATGGATGGACGGATGGATGGATGGATGAGTGGGCGGGCCAAGATCATGAAGATGAACATGAAGAGTGTAGACACCAGACCTTCAGTGGTGATGAGTGAACTCTCAGATTTCATTTTAGTTTCATGTCTTGTTTACCAGTCTGTTAAAAACATCTGGGTGGTTTTAGACTCTGACGTTAAGTTTATATAGATTATGTTTATTAAATACTTTAATTATTTATACAGGGGGGGAAAGGGGGAGGGGGGGTTAAATAAAAGTAAGAAAAAAACATCTCATACAGCACAGATACAGATAAATCAAATAAGAATGCATGTGTATAAATTACAGACATTACTTGTTTTAAAAAAAGTTACCTATTCACAAATATACTTAAAATGTGTACATCAGTTCACATTACTGACCATTTAATTTTGAGACAATCCAAAACTCTTTCCCATATTTTTTAAAGCCTGGGATTTTCCATTCAGACTATATCTCATTCTTTCTAATACAACAACCTCAGAAATTATATTTTTCCACAACTGAACTGAAGGGGCATCACAACCAACCCATTTAAGCATCATGGACTTTCTAGCCAGCATCAGTAGGAGTCGTACAGTATCTTTGTGAGTATTCAGGTACCCGGGTATAAGCCCTAGGAGACACAGCACTGGACAAGGGAGAAGTGTCTCCTCTATAGCAAAGTTAATTTCTCTACATCCTGCCTGACAAAATGCCTCTATAATTGTACACTCCCATAAACAATGAAATCTAGATTTACATTTGGGACAGTTCGAAGAAGTTCCTGGTGTGTATTTGCTATATGTATATATAGGGAGGTATGTATACATTATGTAAAATATTATATTGCATTTCCTTATATCGGTTACATGTTGATATTCTAGAGCGCAGCATCAAAATGTGTTCCCGTGCTTCAGAGTCATTTGTGATTTTAAGCGCTGTGTTCCAGGTTAATCTTAAGTTTTCCAGTCTATTTTTCTTTAGGACTTGTAGTTCAGCATAGAATCTTGACACAAATCTTCAACATTCATGACAATCAAGAATTGTTTTTTTTGTTTTTTTGTAAATAACAAGTCCCCTGAGAACTCCACTGAGTCCATTTTTGCCTTGACATAATGCCTTAGCTGAAGATATTTATAAAGGTCTCTGGAAATAATGTTATATTGTGTTCTTAAGTCCTTAAATGTCTTAAATTTTCCATTATCCCATAGATCATGTATTCTGTTAATGCCAGCTTCTTGCCATGATCTAAGATTGGGACCAGTGCCCTCTACTGTCAAATCCAGATTGTCTACCAACATTGTCAAAGATGAGAGATTCTTATTCTGCCCAAACGTTTTTCTCAGAATGCCCCATGCCTTAATAGTATTAGTATTCATTAAATTACCTTTGACAATAAATTGAAGTTCTCGTTTTTGTTTATTTAACAAATCATTTAACAATTAGTGTTTACAAATGCTCTCCTCGATCTCAAGCCAAGGCTGAACAGGTTTTCCGGTTGCCCACAGAGAAATAATCCTTACGTATAGAGACGGTACATAGTTCTCAAACTTGGTCAGGCCCCGTCCACCTGGGTTTTTGGGAAGTTGTAAAACTTCCATTTTAATTTTAGGTTTTCTGTTTGCCCAAATAAAGTCTGAGATTGCTTTATTTGTCATCCTAGCTAAGTCTTTGGAGTCAATAAACAAGAACAACATGGACACCGGGTAAATTAATTTAGGGAGAATTATCATCTTAATAATTAAGTTGATCCTTCCCAGAAAGGATATGGGGAGCTTCTTCCACCTTGCTAACTTGTCTTTAATGTGAATGATCATAGGACTAATGTTTTCGGGTATAGTTGACTAATTTTACATGGAATGGGCATTCCTAGATAATTTAATCCTGTGATAGCTCATCGAAGTGGTTTGACGAATGCTGGTTCTCCGTGTTCACGGGCAATTAAAGGCATTATTTCTGATTTTTCATAATTTACCTTATACCCAGATATCTTACCAAATTTGTTGACACAGTCAATTAGAGCCAGAATAGACTTTACAGGATCTGTCAAAGTCAAAAGAATATCATCAGCGTATAATAATATTTTATGCTGTTTGTCCCTATTAATATGCCTTTAATATTATCACTTTGTCAAATGGAAATTGCAAGTGGTTCTATAGCTAAGGAGAAGAGCAACGGGGAGAGAGGACTCCCCTGGGCCGTTCCTCTTCCCAATTTAAAAGATTTCACAAAAAATATGCTGCACATTTTAAAGTGGTAGTTAAGGTGTGCAAATCAGAAGATGCAAACATTTTCAAAATGATCATTAAATTCCAAGTTGTAAGACAACAAACCAGAGAGTATGCCAAAATGATCAATATTAAACTATCAATCTATGTAGATTATACTATGGTGCATGTTTATATATTCTGTATATTTGATTGGGCCTGCAGACACACACATGCACACAACACACACAGATTTGTTATTGGCTTTTGTCAGACTAAGATTAGGACCTGCTGTCTTGAGCTATAGGGTTTTCCTAATGAGGTGGGAGGGAGGTTTATCACCCTGAACACAGTTGTTCTAATCCCTTCTTAGAGGCTTAGTTGTTCCTCAGAGTTGGTTCAGCACAGTTTGTCTTAGAGGAAACCATCCAAACAACCTGGACTTTCTATTGATGTAGGGGCAGATTTATGTTTTTTTTTTACAAATTCACCTTTATGTCACCGGCTCGGCTCCAACAACTCTCCTTCGGCCTGACATACTGGATTATTTGAAGAAGCCAATCATTTCCAGTACCTTTTATTTGAAGGCCAGGTTGATAACTGTAGAATCGAGGAAGTTTTACACACCGAGACCTGATTTTCTTTCTTTACTTAACATTTTAATTTTTACTTTGTCTTCAATCAGTACTTGATAAAATGAAGGACCGTCTGGCGCAGTTGAAGGAGGTAGGTCAAGCACTGTTAGATGCTGGTAGTTATTTGTGAGATTTACAATATCCTAATTAAATAAACAGAAGGCCCCGGCGTCTTTAGAATGTCCTGTGAAGCGCCGGCTGCTTGCACAGACCCCGACTACCGACAAACTCCAAAACTGTTAGTATGCATACAAATATGTACTGAAACTGTTGGTTTGTCGGCTGCTGTTTAAACAACGCCACATATTTATTTAAGGTTTTAAAAGTTATTTGTATAGTCATTTGAAATGTTTTATAAAACCTGTTGGTAAAAACAGTACCCCTGCCATTCTGCCAGTTTAAATCAATAGGAGCTTTTTGTCATTGTCTTTGGAATTATCAAACATCAAAACCTCAAGCGTGTCTGTGATATTGAAATATTTTTATTTATTTATTTAAAAAATTTTTGGTCAGAATAGTTTAAACGTTTCTGTAAATTTCCTGTCACTTTACTAACGTTTAGTGTTTTTTCAGGTAACAACTGACCCATTGTAACCCATTTTAAGTGAATTTTCTGTCCCCATTTTATCAAATCATTATATATTGCATTACTTTCAGTTATTTTGTTCTTTAATTTACCTCTTTACTTTTGATTTTTAAAGTAGCCCACTAGGTGAAGCTCTGTTTTTACATGTATAGGGCCACAGCTTACCGCGCCTTCCATTTGGCTCCTGGTTGCTGTCAGGGATGAACTCTCTTCCCATCCAGCAACAAGCTTTTAGTTCCACAAACACTTGGATGAGCACAAATAAATATTTGGTACAAAACAGTAGATCCACATGCATGCAGGGTCAAGAATCATCCTCACAATAACAGCCGACTGTAGCCGAATCCTGCGGGCTTGTTCCACCAAGACATGGTCGGTGGAACAAAATGGTGGTTTATTGAAATACTTTTGAACGATAGAATTTCATTATGGTCACTTTTTCCAAATAGGATTTTTTTTCTAAGATAAGCTGATGAAGGATCTCAGTCATTCAGATAAGTTTATCAATTTACTGTATTTTCCGCTGTACACGTCGCACCGCACCATAAGTCGAATTAGTCCAAACATGTCTAAAAAAATGGAAAAATCCATAAATATGTCGCTTTGCCGTATACTTTGCATTTATTATGCGTCACCGCGGACAACCTGGAAAATGGAAGTGTGGGCCGGTGTGCCAAAAATCCATGGGCTGCCAAATGGCGGCCACGGGAACGTGCACGGGAGGACTTTAACAAGAATTACACACTTAAAAACAATTATTTGTTTGCTCAAAATTATATTATAGGTGTGTCTCAGTTTACCTTTTGTTTAATCGGTCAAATCATTTGTATTTCAAAACCTGATTTGCGGAAGCGGCGGGCACGCACAGAGGGACGAGCCTCCGTGTTGCTTCAAAACTTAACGAGATAAATACCTAAAAACAATTATTTGTTTGCTCGAAATTATAGTAAAGGTGTGTCTCAGTCTAATGCTTAATAAAAGGACTTTAACGGTCAAATCAGCTGTATTTACTGCCTCAGTGCTCCGAGAGCGCACAGAGGGAGGAAAAAGAAGGAGGAACACTGCTCATTTCTTCGAAATTTAACAACAAAAGTACCCAAAAACAATTATTTGTTTGCTCGAAATTATAGCAAAGGTGTGTGTCAGTCTAACATTTACTTAATAAATGACTTTAATGGTCTAATTAGCTGAATTTTGCTGGGGCAGTGCAGCTGGTTTGATGGGGTTGCTCCAAGCAGCGAGCAGAACAAAGGTGGATGTACGGCAAGCTGATTGTGTCATTAATAGCTGGTGAAGATTCTCAGTCATCCAAGACATGGTAAACTCAAAAAAGTTCAAGACAAAAACAATAAAGTATAAATTAAGTATAATGAATATAGTTCAGTTGTTCTCGTCTTGAACTTTTTTTGAATTTGTCATTATAGCCACGTTTCACTATTACATGACACAACAGCATGCCTTACTGCTACTAGTATTCTGCTGCCATCTAGTGGCTGGAAGTGGTACTGTTCAAATTTGTTTCAGTCAGAATGAATGAAAACGGTCATATCTCAGCCAAAAATTGGTTTATTAATATGGGAAAAAATCTATAAATACGTCACTTTGGCCTATAAGTCGCAGGGTATGTAAATTATGCAAAAAAATGTGACTTATTGGCCAAAAAAATATGGTAACCGGACTAGTCAAGTCACATTAATTTATATAGCACATTTATAACAGTAACTATCAAAGTGCTTAACAAAAAGATCACAGCATCAAATATTAATAACAACATATTCCAGCAACATGAATACAAGCATAAAAACATTAAATATAATGAGAAACAATGAAATACTAAATCAAATCACCCTGCGTTAAATGTCAGGGAGTAAAAGCAAAATCTGAACTACTTTATTTATGGACATTTTCCCTTTTTTAAGTGAGACTTTTATCAGTTCAAACAGAAAAGATCACCTTTTAAAGCTTTTTATGTATTTATTATTTGTTTATGTTGTTGTTAAATCAACAACAGAAATCTGAAAAACAAGCACAAAAACATTGTCATTCCACAACTGTCAGGAGTGTCTAAAACACTGAAACAGTGTCTCCAGAGAGAAGAGTTTGATGCAAAAGACAAAACACCGAAACAGATACTGATCGGAGTGGTGTCTTCAGCCGAGTGCAGCCTAAGACAAGACGAGACGAGACGAGACGAGACGAGACAAGACAAGACAAGACGAGACGAGACGAGACGAGACGAGACAAGACAAAACCTTATTGATCCCGCAAGAAACTGTTGTGCCAGAGTTTCAGTACAAAGGAACATACACAAGGAATCACACAAGATATAAAAAATAACAGAAAATATAAAAATACCAGTAATTAACTTCTAAACAGGTCATGTAGACATGTGTGAAATGTTTTAATTTAAAACAAGGTTTTAATGTGATTACATTCAAGTGTTTATGTGGGGCAGGATTAGTTTTATTATCCTATGTGCAGAAAGAGGGAGAAGTTAAAGAGGGAGAAGTTAAACAGTTTGATAG